AAAGGGAGAGTGGGGAAGATACTGATGATGAAATAAAAAGAACCGTACCTTGGAAATGTATCAGTGTAATGATTCTGAATTTGTAAAACTTAAGTATTCAAGGATTGGAGGGGAGGAATATGGAGAAAAGGGGGAAAAGATTAATTTGTGGGGAGGTGTGAAAACAGGGACAGTTCTTTCTTTAATTTAGATTTCCATTAGATCATTTGTGCATATTAAAAAGACCCTATGAGTTCACAACGAGAACTGGGCAGTCAGGACTATTGTGTGGTTAACCACAGCCCTGCAGACACAGTCTTGGCACGTCAAGGTTCTGTCACTGAACAGTATTTGGAGGGAGCTCAGATTCTACATGGCAAATGTCTGTATTCTTTCGTAAGGCCACACTCTGAGATGTCGCCCTTATGAGAAGGAAAACCCTAGACTGGAAGAGGAGGAAGGAAGCAAACTTTGTGCCGTGACTTTAAAAAGGCTACAGGCTCCTCTGCGAGTTCTTAGAAATGCGAGTTGCGATGGATCTCACACCTGAATGTGGGTAAGAATCACCTGGTGACCCTTTAGGACTGCAGGTTCTTCAGATTCAGTCCTAGACACTGTGACTTAGAAGTCCAGTGAGGCCAGGGAATCTGTAACCCGTACCCCATTTTAACAAACCCTTCAGGTGGTAGGGATGTCAGCGGCCGGCAGACCACAACGGGACAGAGGAATTCACAGCTCAAAGGAGAGGACTTTATGCCCTGATTTTCACGAATGTGGGAACTGGTATTTGTTGTACGTCAGTATTACTGAGTTCATTCTTAGAAAACCAGATTTTCACGTTGGTGCACAATGTGAATTTGGGGAAAGCCATATGCTTAGCTCTATGTGAGACCTTTTCTATATAGTCTCATTTCACATACAGAATAACCTTGGAAGATTAGGATTATTTTTCAGGTAAGGGAACTACAGATCAAGAAGGTTTAAGTATCTTGAGTGAGGTCATACAGCTAAGAAGTGTGGAGTCAGGATTCTAAATCAATATGTATTTGAGACCTTTTCTGTATACCATGTACCTTCTAAACCTGTCTTCAGGTGAAACTTATGATGCATCTACTGTGATTGGACAATAGTTATTCAGTGGAAAAGGTGGACATTATAAATGGAATGACCAAATTCACAGAGCCAATGCCAGGCTTTAGTGCACACTGGCCTTACCCAGGGAATTTCAGTCCTGAGGGTTGAGTCTTTTCTTAATGGAGTCCCATGGTTCAAAGCATCTGCTCTAGGGTCATCAAAGGAACCTTTCTACTGATGGAGTGCCTCTTACTACCCTTCCCCATGTGGGACTCAGTCAATGGCTACCGCTAATCAGCTGCCATGACAGAGGATAAGCTCAGTACATCCTGTAACCTGGTTTGATTTTGTCATGGTCATGAAAACGGCGGGGGCAGGGGCGAGCGAGCATAACCTTCTCTGCAATTCCAACTTTTCTCCTTTATATGTTAATAATATTCCATTGTTATGATTATCGAAAGAGCACATCAACTTTTTCAGTGAATAGTTATTGAATTCTGTCTAAGGCTGTGTGCCAGGGAGGGAAGGGGATTTAGATTCCTGAACAAGACAAAGCCCTGCCCTTGGGAAGCTTATATGCTAGAGGACAGAGCACCAGTGACACACAGAAAATAAACAACTGAATACATAGGATGTCAGTGAACACCGGTGTGGAGAAGAATAACGCAGAGTAAGAAAGATAAGGAAGGGAGAGTGGTCTATATTGTACGTATTAACACATACGAAAGTAGATACTTTTGAAAACTCTGAACACTAGGAAAGCATTATAAAACATCATCCAGAATCCTCCTCCTGATAGATAGAACCACTGCTAACAGTTTGGTCTGTTTTCTTTCGGACCTTTTTCTCTCTTGAGTTGTGATCATATCCTATCAGCTTTCTTGGTGTAACCTGCATTTTTTTACTTAACAGGCCATAATCATTCTTCCATGTCATTAACATGATTTCATAGTTAAAGGTTTGCTAAGTGCCACTGCGGGAATGCGCTACCATTGATTTAGCTATTTCCTCTGTTGTTGGTCATGTAGATTAGTTCCCATTTTTCCCCATTACAAACATCACACTGATGCTCTTTCTTAGATAAATCGTTGTGTGGATATCTAAGTATTTTTTCAGAATGAATTTGTGTCTTTGAGTCAGTTTTCTGAGGCTCTTGATGGAGGTTGCCAAACTGCCCCCCAGAAGCAGGGGGGACTCGGCCATCTTATCGCAGTGTGTAGCAAAGCCTTCCCTAAGCTCTCTCAAGAGTTCTGTTCTGGGCCTGCATTTAATCTGCCCCAGTCTTGATTGAGGGTCTAGTCCTCCCAGGTCTGAGGATACAATACTCCTGTGCCACTCCCCAGTGTGACACTCGAAAGGACCCTTCCCATCTGCACGGTGGAGAAGAACGCCTCTGACCACATGGGCGCCTTCGCCAGGATCTGAAGAGGTGACCTTCCTCCCTTCCCCCAGTCTTTGCTCGAGTGAGTCTAAATCTATTCCTGGCCTCTCAGGCCCCCCACTCCAGGATGCGGTAATCACAGCACTAACCTGTGTTCACATATCCCATTATCGAGCAGAAATCCCCCTGTGCATCGACATAGCCTGGCTGCTTCCTAATGGCCCCAGCTCCCAACTTCTAATGGTCCCATCCTCATGTCTCACAGGAGCCAGCTCTTTTTGTTAGTGTTTTAAGATTCCTGGTCCAGATGAAATTTCCCCCATGATGTTCATCGGGCCAAATTGAAGGTGATGCAGGCAGTGAGACAGAGAGACGGGTGTGTCTGTGTCAACAGGACAGAGGAACGTCCAGGGCTATCCATCTTCCATCTCCTCCAGTGACATCTCACCGCCCCCTCCTTGTCTGCAATGTGGGGATGAGAGACGACATCCCTAATAGTTAGCGCCATGCCACAGAGACAGGGTGGGTGCGGGTACTCTGCTCAGAGCCCTCCCTTCCAGCCCTGACAGCACGAGAAGATGTTGCTTCTTTCTTTGTGGGTCAAACCCCTTCAGAGTGTGGCCCTTCCCCCTTTGCAGTTCACCACATGGGAGATGTAATCTTTGGAGGAGATGTTACCAAGGGCAACAGGGACTCTACGCATGTTGATCCTTCCTGGGGTCTGAGCTGTTTGTGCTATGCCTTAAGAAAGAAGCCCTTACCCACACTTGACCTCAACTGCGGCTTCCTCAAAATAAATAAAATGCTTTGCTGATGTAGAAATCATGCTCAGCAGTGATTACAAAGCACACTGCTAGCACAAAAATAATGACTGTTTTAAAAAAGGAAAATATTATAAGCACTGGACGATGCCAGCACCTCCATTTTTTTTTTTTTTTTTTTCATTCCTATGAAGCCACCTGGGGATCAAGTTTTCCATTTCTCCCTTCCTTGATTAAGGTGAGAGATTACTCATGGGCTTCCACAGCCAGCTGCTAAGTACACGGGTTTAAGGCTAGGCACCTATTTCTGGGAAGAGAGGTGGGGGAGTAAAAGAAAAAAAAAGTTCTTCAGTTACAAATTCAAGAAGTTATCTCTGAACTGGGATTTAATTGTTAAGCAGTAATTAAATTATGAAAACAAAGAAGTCTTCTTTCCAAATCCCCAAAGGATTCCTGGGGAGCAGACTGCAGCCTCTCTGTGTGACAACAGCACATGCCAACGGCAGGACGTTCCCCATAGGTACAGGTGCACCCAACTGCCTCCTGGAGCTGCTGCTCACCTTCTCCCAGGTGCCTCTAGCGTTCCCACCTCGCTCAGGTTTGAGGTAAAAGTCACTCATTAGCTCAGCAAATATGACGGGGCTCCCCCTTGGTTCCAGGGATTCTGCTGGCACCGGGGGTTCAGAAGTGAGCCAACTACAGAAAGTTCCTCCCTTCACAGAGCTTTCATTCTAGTGGAGTGAAGGCAGTTCAGCCACTGGGAAGGAAGGAAACAAACGCAGTAACTTCAGGGCACGTGTGGCGTCTGCAGGAAATTTAAAACAGCAGGTGATGGATTGAACGCTAGCGGTGTGAGCAGCTGATGGAGAGTGCTTCCCGCTGCTCCGTCCCCTATTTCATTCTCAGGAGCCAGAGGAATTGTCTGAAGAGGAAACCCGATCCTGCGTAATCATGGGAATTTGACATTTCATTCCTCGTCCTTTCAACATTGTCTTTTTCCATCTACCAGACTGTAAGTGTCCTGAAAGCAAGGATAGGACTGCTTTGCCAACTTCATCCCCGCAGTGTCACATATAGTAGAAGCTCAGTAAATATGTGTGGAGCGGATGGATGGACGAATGGATGAAGAAGGAGGGCTCTACTTGAGGAGGCTTCCGAGACTGATACTTAGGAGAGGCTCAAGCTACTTCATATCCATCAGGGAAGCACCCAACTGGAGGGGCAACAAGAAGCACAGTACGGGATCCTGTGGGCTTGGGAAGCCGACTCCAGGTGTCTGAAAATAGCACCTCCGTGGCCCTTCACCACCAACCCGCGCACAAAGCCTGGAAAGGTGACCTCAGAGACTCACTTTGGTGGTATTAGGTCTAGAAGGGTTTCCACAGGGAGACCACTGAGAAGTAGGGTTGACTCAATTCCTTAACATCATAACTCAAACTCCTAAGAAGGTAGGAGAGACTGTGGGGAGCGATGGGGGTGTAGCCCCTCAAGGGCTCTGAGACACGTAGATTAGGACCTCTATGAAGGTATCCTGGGTTCTTCCTTTACTGGCAGGGCTTCTATCACCTCCAGTACACCTGATTGCTATTTATGCCCACCAGCTTGGTTCAAACCTTTAATGAATGTCTTTGCTCAGAGGTCTTGAGGCTGAAGGTTTTTTTTTTTTTTTTTGAATCATCAAAGCCCTGAAAGTCAACCTGGCTTCATCAAAAAGGCAGTGAATTCCCTGTTAAAGGAAAGACTGAGGTCTTGTCTGGACATGTCAGGGGTGTTAACACAGGTTTCCCCCGCTAAGAAGCAATTACCTTTCTCCCTAACTGCGAAAACCCTCTTCACATTTCTTCCAGTTAGCGAAAACAGGTACCAATGCAGGTCATCACAAAGAGAACTTGCAAAACGTGCAGGGTATCTGCAGATCAAACACCGGATAAGAATTGAAAAACAAATTGCTCTGAACTGCTGTCCAAACCTGACCTTTTGTGAGCCTGTGACATAAAACACTCATTCTGTGAACCGTCAAAGGGGACTTTATCCTATTCCGTATTCATGTCACACACTGGAAGTCAGGACCCAAGGGTTTTCTGGGCCTTGTTTTTCTCATCTGCAAAAAGGGGTTGAACAGTTCTATCTCTCAGTGTGGTTGGAAGGGTTCCCAGGTGTCACACTTAGGGAGCACCAGGCTTCCACTCAGCACTTCATAAACCATGGAGGCATTTGAGGGTGAACTCTCTCAGTTCTGGGGCACTGAAAGTTTAACACTTCTTAATAATACTAATTACACTGGGCCAAGGCAGAAATCGAATACTCCAGTGTTCCTGCTCCCCGATTATGGAAGCAGTAAAAAAAAAAAAGTGTCAATTTTATCCCTTTGGTGACCTGTACACCCACCTAGCAAGACCAGGCCTAAACATGCGGTCCCGATTTCTTGTCTTAGGTGAAAGACTCATGTTCTTAGAGAAGCTGATTTTTACCAGTCTCAATAAAAAAGTAATTTCCCATCCATGGAGAACGGATTGGACTGCAAGAAGCCCTGCTAAATGTTCTGAGCAGATACGTGGATATCAGACCCAACAGAGGACATGTGCCTGTGCTGGTTCTTCTTCCTATCATACACTCACCCCAGCCTCTACACTATGTCCATCCATGAAACCTCAGCTCAAATATCACCTCCTCCAGGAAGCCTGTCTTGATTGCTATAAATGACTTTTAAGTTCCTTTATACTCTGTGATGGTGTCATGTATGTATGTCTCTCTTGTAACATGGAGAGCAGTTTAAGCTTGGGCTTGTGATGGGGTTTGGGTAATAGATTTTTCTCACTTGACTGCAAGCATTGGGGTGGGAGTCCCCAGTGCCCACCACAGAGGCAGAGTACCCTATAATGAAATGCTTGTGGAAGGAGAAAGGACATCTGTGTGGCTCTTGGCTATAAAGAACACTGAAAGCAGGAGACACAGCATTGTGTGGGTAGGTGTCTCACTGCCCTGCAAGGCTTGGGAAGGAGCAGAGGTTGCAACCAGAGGGATTTAGGTTAGTGTTCAGGAAGAAAGCAGCTTTGCAAACATTCTTTCAAATTCCAGGCTGCCTAAAGAGTTAAGAGTGGGATACCAGGGAAAACAGTCAGCAACTATATCAGCCTCTACAAACACAACAATCTGCTTTGCCCCAATCCTGATTTTTATTTTCCGTAGGTTTTAGAAGATAAACTTTATGGTGAAAGATTATGAGCAGGGTTTCGGCTAGGCTTCTTAAGCTAGGGGGATTTAAGGAAGGAGACAGTACTATCTTTCTGGGACCCAGGGAATCTCTGGGGACGCGTGGAGCTGGAAAGGCTCTCAGCAGCTGGGTAACCCTGGGTACGGAAGTTCAGACACATCTCCTTTAAGTCATCAGAAGAGAAACACCCCTTGGCTTCTGCTGGGTGAGGGAAAGGGGGGAGCACGACCAGATCCTCCCCCCCTGGAAAGGGCAGAGGGAAGGCTAGTCCGGGCCTTTCTGCTCAGCCTATTAGGCAACAGCAGACTGAGTACAGACATGCTTCGCTGCAGTGCCAGGCTCAAAACAAGGGCTAGGGTGGTAGGTAGCCTTCTGCCAGGTAGAAACCAGCCTTTTGCCAGCAGACACTCCTCCACCAGATAGTCCTGCTCCCAGCTATGCGGCCACTTCCCAGGCAGTTTCCAAACAAAAAACAGGACTAAGTTCATTTCTCACTGACTTTTTTTTTTCTCTCCTGCATTCCTGATCCCTACCTTTTGCTGTTGTTTTAAATTCCTAATTTATAGGCCATGGAGTTCTTGGCGAACAGAGACGCTAGCTAGGGAGCACACAGAGGAGGGGAAGTCTCCACTCCAGCCCTGGGTCCGCCACTGTGTTACTGTGTGACCTTGGCCAGAGGCACTGCGTCTCTGGGCTCACCGTGCTCACCTGTGAGTTGGGGTAATTCTGCCTGCCGTATTGACCACGCCAGCCAACGGTGAAGCCGTAACAAGGAGAACTGGAAGGAAGCCCCTTGAAAACACAGAAAAAAAGAAACTTTGTAGGACAAAGAAACACATTTTGTTACCTATGCTGAACTGGGGGGTTCTCCACAAAATTGGGAAATAGTGACTCCCAGCACGCAGGTGGGTTTATGTCAAGTGCAGCCGTGTGTTAGAGCAACGCTTTTACAGGCTGGTTCTACCTGGCGGGGGCCGGGGCATGGACTCAACTGAGACGCATGCCTAGATGGGGGACCCGGGATCCCCCATACCTCAGGGGCTATCTTAGAGTTCTGCAACAACACAGAAAGTGGGTAGAACCAAGGTTTCTGGAGCCAGAGACACACTCGGCTTCGAGTCCTGCTTTTGCCTGGCCACCTGGAGCAAAGTGCCTCAGTGCTCGGTGCCTCAGTTTACCCATCTATAACAAGATTTAAATAGGATGAAGCATGGCAAATTGCTTCAGAGCAAAAGCACAGCGTCTAATACAGAATAATAAATACAGTTGTTCAGTACAGTGTCTGGTACAGCAAGTGATAGTTATTATTTTACTACTGATGTTATTATTAATCCAAAGTACCGAGTGCGGCCTACGCCTCAATTCTCCTTCCCTCTTACCCAGGAAATCTCCCTCCTGAAAAACTTCGAAACTGAGGCCCTGCTTTGCAGCAAGAAAACTGTGCTCCTCAAGGCCAAATGCTCCAAAACCAGTGTCTGTGTGGAGACCGGGGTGGGGGGGGACTTTCGGGGGGGGGTGCAATTTACCTTTTGGAAGTGACCCAGAGGCCTGTTAGAGACAGGGGGGAAAAGGAGGGAGGCGAGAGAAGCTGCCGGCGCTCTCGCGCAAGTTCACTGAGTTGATAAAGTTATTAAAACATAAAACACGCACAGGCTCCAGGAGGGAAAAATAAATAAATACAATAAAACAGCCCGCGCGTCCAACCCTGTTCCCCCAGGCGGTGTAAAGGCTGGAGGGCGAGGGAGCCCGAGGAACAAGTCGGTCAGGTGAACCAACCTCCCGGGGCGCGGCGCAGGGAGGCGTCCGCCCCGCCCAGGCTCGCCCACAACTCAGTGCCGGCCCCTCCTTTAAAATTAAAAAAAAAAAAAAAAGAAAGAAAGAAAGAAAGAAAAAAATGCCCCGGCGAGAGGCCCGCTCCTGCCGAGTCCCCGGGGCTCCCGCGGCCATCCCGGGAAAGAGCAGAGCGAGAACGCCCCTCGCGCGCCATTGGTCCACCCGCGTAGCAACAGCTGCGCGCCGGCCAATGGGAGCCGCGGAGCCGTCGGCTGCGGTCCAAGAACCTGGCTGCCAGAAAGTTCTCCGTCCCAGCCAAGAAAATAAACCCAGGCACTCTTCAGATTCCAGCGCTAACTTTTCTTTCTTTCTCTTCCTCCCCTCCCCCTTTCCCCGTACAACTTGTCTTCACTCTTTAGTTGATGCCTGCCTGAGCCCCCAAACTCCGACGCGTTTTCGAAGGTCATCCCTTCCCACCCCCAAGGGAGAAACCTCATTAGAGGTAAAAGAAAGGACATTGAAAACGGTGTGTCAGGCTTTCAAATCCCACTCGGTCCTCATCACCAGCGACCCCTGGCAAACCTCAATTACAATAGCTTCATTTTTAATAGTGTGGTTTTTCTTTGGACAGATCTGCAAGTTCTGTGCCCCAAAGAAGGGCCCTTTGAACACCTACTGTGTGCCAGGCTTTGTCCTCGCAGTTTTATACGTCTTGCTGCATTTAATCCTCCTTGTAATTCTGGGAAATGACTCACCCTGTCTCCATTTAATAGATGGGATGTTGACGTTCAAAACGAGGAATGGAAGTGTCCAAGGAGACACCGTTGGTATGTGGTCTAGCAGGATTCAAACCCAGGCCAGCCTCTTTCCAAAGACCACTCCGTTTCTGTGATGTCACACACCTCCACGAGCCCATTTCAGTGTAAGATATCCTAAAGAAACGGTGCAGGGTATGAGAACCTGATCCAGACCCGCTGGTTTGTTAATAAGCCAGAGTGTGACTTGCACAATCGCATGTGGTCTTGACAGTGAGAAGGTCTCATCTCACACTTGGTTTCAGGCTCTGCTGGTGCTGTTTTGAAATTCTTAAGTTTTGAAGACTGGGCCTGCGAATTAGGTAGCCAGCCCTGCATCCAGGGATAAGAAGCTTCCAGGACGGTTCAGTGAAGACAGCTTATTTCAGTGTCCCAGAGGGATCTCTCAAGTAATGGAGGAGGCTTGTAAGTCTCTCTCTCTCTCTCTCACTCTCTCACACACACACACACACACACACACACACACACACACTTACACTTCTGCACACACCCCACAGATCAGTCAGTTTTATTACACTGTAACTGTAATTTGAATCCCCAGTCTATTCAATGGGAGTGTATATATTTATGGCTGTGTTTAGGTGTGTGTGTGCGTGCGCCCGCGTGTGCTAGCTGGGAGAGGGAATAGGGGATTGGGGAATTTACGACACACAGACACAGCCCTGATTATTGACTCTATTCTTTCCCTTTGGAGACATTACAAGGGATTTGAACCAGGCCCTGCTTTTATGAAATACATACTTGGGAGGTTTCGGAAAGGCCATAAACGCTGGTCTGTGTGGGGCTGAGGTTGGGGTGGTGCCAGCTCTTCTGGGACGAGACAGGCCTTGAATACACTATCCACTGGGCCTGGCGGAAAACCCACGTAGTCCTGCATCTGTTTTACCCCCAAATCCAAGGCTTCTTTCCTGGCAAAGAGAGGCCTGGTTTTTATTCTCCCGATTGTGCTGGTTTTACTCTCTGAGTTAGGAGATTATCAGTGAATCACTGATGGTGTGAAAGTCTGGATGCATCCCTGACACTTATTGTGCCAACCAATATGTAAATTGTGTGCGGTCCGGGTTGCAAGGGGCTGCGAGATGGTGGATAACTTTGGAACCCTTTGTTTTGTGGTTAAGGGAACTGAGGCCCAGGGAAGGAAGCCCAGTTGTGCAGCCTAAACAGCTGGGTTATAGAGGTCTTTGGGTTAGAGTCCACTTCTCCTGACTTCCATTCCAGGCCTCTTTCTTGCTTTCATTTCTGCATGAGCAGAAAAATGCCATAAAGCATTACATAATCAGTTCATGTGGGGAAAGGTTAATTTAATGAATAGCAATATGGGGTCAAAGGGGAGGGTCACTAACATTTATTAGTGCTTGGAACTTGCCCCTGCTTTGCCTACATGGTCTCACCTAATTGAATCTTGAGGACAACACTGAGAGAACATAGGTAATATTATTTTTATTTAACAGATGGGAAAAGTGAGGCACAGACTCATGGCATAACTTGTGTAGGGTCCCATACCTTATAAATGGATTAGCTGAGATATGAACTCAGTTCTTCTTCATCCCTGAATAGCAGAATTAAATTATTCAGATCATTATGGCTCCATGGTGCTTCATTTTAATGACCATATAAACCAGAGAAATGAGTCTATACCTGCCAAACATAAGTTGTCTGTGGTGGTCAACATAAACTAACTTTGGGCTATTAATTACTCTTAATTCAGTTTCGTCTTAATTTTGGGTGGGCTTTCTGGTGATGCTGTGCCCCATTCACTTTGAAACTACAGACCCACTAAAGATCCCAGTCCAGCCAAAGTATGTCTAATGATTTTCTTGGTGGGTGTTTCAGGAAAAAAAAAAAAAAAAAATATATATATATATATATATATATATATATATATATATATATATATACACATACACACACATATATTAGCAAATGGCTTCACTCATTAAATCATTTGGTTCTAGGTGAAACTGGCAAATACTGGCAGCCATCTTAATGACCAAGGCTTCCCCCCAGCTTCTGCTCACCAAGTAACAGTGACTCAGTGGATACAAAACTTACAACTATGAAAACAACACGTGTGACTGGGTAGACATAAATCAATAGAACTGTAGGGCCCCACAAAAGATATATCTGATCCCTAACCCCCAGAATCTGTGAAGGTGACTTTATTTGGAAAAAAGGTCTTTGCAGATATAAATAAGTTAAGGACCTCAAGATGAGATGGTCCTGGGTTTAGGGTGGACCCTACATCCAATGATAGGTGTCCTTATAAGAGAAGAGGATGCATAGAGTGAAGATGGCGATGTGAAGATGGGGCACAACCTAAGTGTCCATCGACAGGTGAATGGATGAAGAAGATGTGGTACATATACACAGTGGAATAGTACTCAGCCATAACGAAGAAGGAAATAATGCCATTCGCAGCAACATGGGTGGACCTAGAGATTATCACACTAAGTGAAGTCAGACAGAGAAAGACAAATACCATATATCACTAGTATGTGGAATCTAAAAAAGTGATACAAATGTACTTATTTACAAAACAGAAAGAGACTCACAGAGGTAGAAAACAAACTTGTGGTTACCAAAGGGGAAAGCGGGGAGGGAAAAATTGGGAATTTGGGATTAATAGATGTACATGACTATACAGAAAACAGATAAACCACAAGGACCTACTGTAGCACAGGGAACTACATTCAATACCTTGTGATAATCTATAATGAAAGAGAATCTGAAAAAGAATATATATGCCTATGTGTATGTATGTATAACTGAATCACTTTGCTGTACAAACATTGTAAATCAACTATACTTCAATTAAAAAAAAAAAGATGGAGGCAAAGATTGGGGTGATGCATCCCCAAACCAAGGAACACCAGGGACTGCTGGCAGCCACCAGAGGCTAGGAGAAAAGCAGGGAACACGGATCCTCCAAAAGCAGGCTACCCTGCCCACACCTCAATTTCAGACTGCTGGTCTGCAGAACTGTGAAAGAGTAAATTTCTGTTGTTTTAGGCAAAACTAGTTTGTGGCAATCTGTTATCAAAGACGTAAGAAACTAATACAAGTACTAAATTATTTTACCATATTTTAAAAAGGAAAGAAACACAGCATTAAAATAGCATTAAAAGAACTCCAAGCTAAAACCGTCTACCTAGAAATGTATTGGAAGAAATGATAAAAATGAGATTTGCGTATCTGTATATCAGTAAATAGCTCATGAGGTTCAATCAATCAATACTTAGGTATATAATTCAGAGAGACTGTCTTGATTGGATTAGCTGTTCAATGATGAACTGAACGTTGAAGTGACTTGTTGATCTGGTCTATATCCTGTATGTGTCTAAGAGAGAAGCGGGTGTTTTCTGGAAGTTTAACGTCTTTGTGTAAAGAAGGGGTCCCACTTCCGCCTTGGGTATAGAAAACTCTTCACCCACCCTAACAACAAGAAAAATCCAGGTGAACTATTCTTTCTTTCTTTCTTTTTTTTTTTTTTTAAGTGATTTCGATGTGTTTAGTAAATCCTAGCATCCTTGGATCTGAGGCAAAGTTGCGCATGGCAAAGTATTAAATTAAGGAATTTCTTTTTTTTTTTTAACATCTTTATTGGAGTATAATTGCTTTACAATGGTGTGTTAGTTTCTGCTTTATAACAAAGTGAATCAGTTATACATATACATGTGTTCCCATATCTCTTCTCTCTTGCGTCTCCCCCCCTCCCACCCTCCCTAGCCCACCCCTCTAGGTGGTCACAAAGGATGGAGCTGATCTCCCTGTGCTATGTGGCTGCTTCCCACTAGCTATCTGTTTTACATTTGGTAGTGTATATATGTCCATGCCACTCTCTCACTTTGTCACAGCTTACCCTTCCCCCTCCCCATATCCTCAAGTCCATTCTCTAGTAGGTCTGCATCTTTATTCCCATCTTGCCCCTAGGTTCTTCTGACCATTTTCTTCTCTTTTTTTTAGATTCCATATATATGTGTTAGCATATGGTATCTGTTTTTCCCTTTCTGACTTACTTCACTCCGTATGACAGACTCTAGGTCCATCCACGTCACTACAAATATCTCAATTTCGTTTCTTCTTATGGCTGAGTAATATTCCATTGTATATACGTGCCACATCTTCTTTATCCATTCATCTGTCGATGGACACTTAGGGTGCTTCCATGTCCTGGCTATTGTAAATAGAGCTGCAATGAACATTGTGGTACATGACTCTTTTTGAATTATGGTTTTCTCAGGGTATATGCCCAGTAGTGGGATTGCTGGGTCATATGGTAGTTCTATTTGTAGTTTTTTAAGGAACCTCCATACTGTTCTCCATAGTGGCTGTATCAATTTACTGTTCTTGAACCTGTGAAAGAGCTGAAGTTACAGGGCCACCAAGTAGCCCAATTTCCAAGTAAAGACAGGCCTCTCCAAGGGGGCTGGGAGCACAGTTTTCCACATGGCAGGCCGTGGGAAGAAGCAACACCAGAAGGTACCTTAAAATTTTAAATAAATTGCCAAAGACTGAGCCTAGGCCAGCATGAGAATATGGGACCAGTAGGAGCCACAGACACACTGGGAGCTCTCACTCACTGGCAGGATTTCCAGATTGGTCCACCAGATGCTCACAAGAAAGGCTGGGGACCAGCAGTAGACCAGAGTGAGCCTGCTTACGTGATGCAGGCCTGGGAGAGAGAAATCACGGCCACCGCGGGGAGGCAGGAAGCCCCATCTGAATGAACCCTTTCCCCCTACTGAACAAAATCCTTAAGCTACCTGGAGAGGCAGAGCAAACCCTGTAACATCCAGGGCACAGGTAAAGACTCATTGAGGCTCAGAGAAGGATAAAATATAAAATCCCTCTGTATCCGGGGAGGGCGATGAAAGAGTTCATAACCAACAGAGACCTACTGTTGGGAGAAGGGCGGTAAACAGCTGTTCCACAGGACCCATCACAGATGCAATGCAGAGGTTGGCTGCCACGGAGAAGAGGCACAGAAACGGGCAGAAAACCCACCTTTGAGGCCCAGGTATGCAGACCTACCTTAGAGAAGAATTGGAAGTTTACTGTTGTAAGATTCTTTCATTATACAGGTAGGGTTAAAGTGGTATTTGTAGGTTGACTGCAAT